TCCAGGGGGAGCGTGCCCCTGGATCCCCAAAACTCGGGCCTATGGCGCTAGTGGTTTTATAAAACTCAGGGCTAAGCCCTCAATGTCCTGAAGGTCTAGCAATGGCCCTGACTACCGTGACTTATATGTTAAATGAATGCCAGCACAAAGTTATACAAGGATTTTCTTTTAAAACCTTCAAATTTATTTTTTGTTAACTTTATGAAAAAAAATATTAAAATAAAATCTAATTTACTTAATCAATGCCAACTCTGAATTGAACAGTCCATACAGTACTCAATAACATGCCAAAGTTACAACAATAACAGCAATGCACAGAGATCAATAATATAGAGAGCAATATAGTAAATCAGACCATAATGTTCAAAGGCAGGGTAAATACTAGTGTAATAACGGCCTTGGTTCATAGGTGGCATGCCGGTAGCATACCCCTACAATGCGTGAATTCTTTTTAATAAACCTAGATACAATATAAGTCCAAAAATCCGGACTGCTTGGGGATTGGGTCGGTCCGGATTTTCGGATTTTCCGGATTCTCAGGCAGTACTTTTAAAATTCAAATTTCAGGAGAAATAAGGAAGAGATGAACAGGTACATTTTGGTAGTTTATTCATTAGCAAATATAGCATGCTTCCTTTATCAAAATAAGCAGTTTTAAAGATAAAGCTGTGAATTCTAAAATTTTATTCTTTGCCTTTTTTATATCATAAATTGTAGACTTTCCTATGTCATATGTTTCCATTAGAACAGTATTGCTCACACCACGTTCTAGTTTCTTAATTATTTCAAGTTTGTCACTCAATTTCAAGTGTTCTTCTTTCCCTTCACACAACGAAGTTTATCTACTTTAGGAGCCATTATTATGGACTTGTACAGTACTCTGTAAATGGAAAGAGTAGAACTCAAAATTCCGTACGTTGTCACAGTTTGATTGCTCGTTTTAAAGTGGCAACCGCATGGTCGCGTGTTGTCGCTGTGGCCCTCACGCATGCACACACACAAAAGCAAGCTAAAAAAAAAAAAAAATTTAAGTTTGAGTTTTCGAAAAGTCCGGATTCTTGGGTGGTCCGGATTTCTGGCGTCCGGATTTTTGGACTTTTACTGTATGTACCCCTCTCTGGTTACCAAAAACTAATTTTTTTTTTTGCTGGAAAAGCTAGATAATGATTTCTAAAATCATTTCCAAAATTCAGGTTGGCCAATTCAAAGGTAGTATCTTATCTAGTTGCTCCCTTTCCAAGTGGTTTGGTGTTGGGTTTGAAAACACAACAATGCCAAAATCTGTGAGTGGGCCAGGAGATATACCGCATCACACTGGACATTTATTTTACACTACAGGTATTTTGTTATTTCCACCTTTTTTTTATATTACTCATGATTATATAATACACTAGACCCTTGCTATCAGCGAGGGATACGTTCCCAAAAATGGAGCGAATTGGCAAAACCGCAAATAGCAACTTAACTACCTTAGTGCATTACTGTATGGCTATACCAAACAATTGACCAGCTGCACTCGTCCCCTCTTTTAACTTATCTAATAATAAAACTTTCTTTGTCAGGGTCATCAATGACTTCTGCCTTTTACATTTTACTCTATAGACATCACTAGCACCAGACAGTCTTTTAGGGGCCATTTCACACAGAAACACTAAAGTTTTGAGAGTACAACATGAGATGCTGCATGGGGGCACTCTTGCTGCGGGAAAAAGCTTGGAAGTTAGCCACCATCTTCTTACCGCGAATCTTCGAAATCGCGAGTGGCAAGGGTCCACTGTACTGTACTGGATAGGTAGGTGAATAGAAAATTTTTATTAATTTTGTTTTATTTGCTTACATGTGGCAATTCCAAATGGAATGCAATTAGTAGAGGCCTCTACTCACACAGCAAACATGCTACGTTAAGTTTCAGACATCACTTACATTTACATAATTCTACTCGTTTTACTATTTATTGTACACAAATATGTAGATATTATTCACCGAGACAGTTTTTAGGAGTTGGCACTTGACATATACAATCGGGTAAGGTGGCGGTGATGGTAGTGAGAGACAAGGGCTCCCTCCCTCGTACCTGTGCTTCACCACTACGTTGTGAATCCTCCTCTAGCACCCACCCAACTCACCCTAACTTTAAGCTACCACCCATCATGTTCTCACCATGCCCACACTTGACCATGTGCACCCACAATGCCCACTTGGAGCAAAGAATCCCCAATTTTTCGACTTCTCACTTAAATTTTTCCCAGAGTTGAAGATCACTAAACAGAGCAATTGCAGATCGTTAAATAACCATGGGTGTGAGAAATTTTTAATTGCTAAACTGAATTATTGTTGAGTGAACGATCGCTAAACGGCGCATCCTTGTATTGTATCTGGACTGATCTCTGAGTAATTCCCATCACTTGGTTTACTTTGGGTTTTTTATGCGTGGCATCTAGTCTTTTAGGATAGATAAATTTTTATTACCAACTAAACCATTAAGGTCTTCCAAGTTAGG